GCTACATCTGACCTTTTAATTAAAAAGTGGTCTAGATCAATATCCTCCAAAATGTTCATTACTATATTTTTAAGTTTCAAGATAAGCCCTATCATGTCTTGTTTGCAGTGTTGTCAGCCCTGTAGACTTCAACCGTTCCTGGTATAAGAGTCGACTTAGTTCTGGGATGATTTTTGTTGCCCATTGTTGAACTTTCTCCAAAGCAGCTATATCTTTCTCAAGATGATTGGATACAATAAACCAAGTAGGGGCACACCAGAGATTTATACAGTTTAATAACTGACTTGTTTTCCTTTGAAGTCAGAGGGTCATTTGACTATTCCTAGGGTTTGACTAGCTTTTATACTGCTGCTCCCACTTGTTATGCAACTTTCAGTGATTGGTGGATTCTTACTCCAAGATCCTTTTCCTCATCAATCTGCTGTAAGGTAATGTTGTTAATTTGGTAGTATTGTTATGCCCCACATGCAAGGTCTTGCATTTTTCCAAGTTGATAACCCTTTGCCAGTCTTCTGACCATTTGTGAAGTTCATGTAGATTTTTTCATATGGCATCGATATCATTTTCATTTGGCAATATACCATAACTCTTAGTGTCATCTGCAAATTTGATCATGGGGCTTGTAATATTCTCATGTAATAAGAGTCACTGATGATTATAACAAAAAGGGTTGGCCCCAAAATGAACCCTTGTGGTAACCCACTTACCACACTTCCCCAGTCAGATTCATTGCTGTTTAGGACAACCCTTTGCTTTCTTTGTTTTGACTTCTCGAGGTTATCTTGAAATGATTTCGTGGCTTATTGTCCCCGCGGCCCAGTCCTCGATGAGGCCTCCTTTTTTGTTACACACCCCCAAGAAGCAGCCCGTAGCAGCTGTCTAACTCTCAGGTACCTATTTACTGCCAGGTAACAGAGGTGAAAGAAACTCTGCCCATTTGTTTCAGTCTCCACCGGGGATCGAACCCGAAACCTCAGGACTTCGAATCCGAAGAGCTGTCCACTCAGCTGTCAGGCGCCCAGCTGTCAGGATAAAACCGTAGTTTTATCCATTCTAGTATTCTACCATTTATTCCATGTATTAGTAATTTCCTTGCTAGTGTTTCATGTGGTACCTTGTCAAAAGCTTTAGCAAGTCCATCTACTGTATACTACACCGCCCTGGAAGTCCTTTGTCTGAAAAGTTGGTTACCATTTCTAAAAATTTGAACAGGTTTGTAAGGCAGGGTCTATTTTTAACAAGTCAATGTTGCATTGATTTTACTAAGATTGTTAAGTACAGTATTATTACTATATAAATTTGGTCCCATCCATAGCTCTATGCTGTAATGAAAATAAGGATAAGATCAACAAACCAGGTTTATTTATAGATACAGCATATATGCTTAATTCCTGTCAGAAAAACTATATGACTGTAATGGCTTGACTTTGGTTTATATGGCTGACCTTTCTATTAAGTTTCTTCTACCATACATTGTACAAAATCCATAGTAAAGAAAATATGTGACAGATGCTACTGAAGATGATGTATTGTAAATATAATGTGCATTATGTTTGATAACAGTGAAAGGCAGGGTGTGCTTTGTCCAGAAATCACCACTACAGTTGGGGTTGGTCTCGACTCTCATCCGAGAATCCTGGGTAGGACATAAATGGTTGTGCATTCTTCCTATTACCTAATGCCTTTATTTACCTAGCAGTAAATAAATATCTGGAACTTGGTCAACTGGTGTAGAGTTGCATCCTGGAGAGGCTCAGTAGTTTGACCTTGGGAGGACTTAAAGATAAACTTTCATTTTCTCTTTCACACACACACACACACACACACACACACACACACACACACACACACACACACACACACACACACACACACACACACACACACACACACACACAGTGTCTGTATCTCAAGAAGCACATTAATAAGCTGGAAAAGGTGCAAAGGCATGCTACAAAATGGCTTCCAGAACTGAAAAACACGAGGAGAGGCGAGAGGCATTAATATGCAATATTTAAGCTTCCCACAGTAGTGGGAAGGTTCTCACTATTGGTTTTCACAATACTAGCAGAAAAGTCTCACAATACTGACAGATGAGTCTCACAATACTAGCAGAACAGTCTCACAATACTGACAGAAGGGTCTCTCAATACTAGAAGGTTCTCACAATACTAGCATAATAGTCTCACAATACTGACAGAAGGGTCTCACAATACTAGCAGAAGGTTCTCACAATAGACTAGAATGTGGTTCTCATTTTAGATGGTGACTGATGATACAATCGAGAATTTTGTTAAAACAGAGCAAATGATAGTTGTAAGCAGTTTATTCTATAATAAATTATATTCATTGATCAACAGGAATCTTCTGGGTGGATTAAGGGTCAGTTTATCAATAAGAAAAAGAAATGAAAGGGAGGAAAAGACAAAGAGAGCAAAATGGTAGATTGCATTCTAAAGAGGAAGTGATTGACAAAAGAGGGAGTGATTGACAACTGGTCCTACAAAAGAGGGAGTGATTGACAACTGGTCCTACAAAAGAGGGAGTGATTGACAACTGGTCCTACAAAAGAAGGAGTGATTGACAACTGGTCCTGGTCCTGCAAAAGAAGTAGTAATGTACAACTGGTCCTATATACAAGCAGAAATAATTGACACCTGGTTCTACAAAAGAGGAAGAAATTGACAAGTAATTAGCAACTGACCATTACTCCTACAAAATAGCAACAATTAACAACAGTTCCTACAAAACAGGAAATAGTTGATTAAATGGTCCACTAAAAGAAGAAATCTTATAATTTATCCTACAAAAAAAGGACCAACTGGGTACTCACCCTACAAAAGAGGAATCTATTGTCTAATGATCTTACAAAAGAGGAAGTGGCAACTAAATAAAAAAAAAAGATGCAAGATATATGTACAGTGTTATTCGTGTATATAAATATATGGTATCTTTCATACTGGCGCACATTGGTTCCTTTACACAGGCTTGTCACTCGGTTATTCAGATTAAGAATTATAGGGTTTGGCAAGTAACTGGATGGGTGAGTACACGAGTAGTTTTGTCCAGGAGGACCTCAATGGGCCTAATAGGCTAACAGTCCTGGACAGTGTTATACCAAAATGGCTGGTAATGCCTTATAACCACATGCCCTATAGCAGCCACATTCCCTGTAACAGCCACAACCACATTCCCTGTAACAGCCACACCCTCTCTGTAACAGCCACACCTTCTCTGTAACAGCCACACCCTCTCTGTAACAGCCACACCCTCTCTGTAACAGCCACACCTTCTCTGTAACAGCCACACACCCCTGTAACAGCTACACACCCCTGTAACAGCCACACCCCCTGTAACAGCCAGATACCCCCTCCCTCATAACAGCCAGATACCCCCTCCCTCATAACAGCCATACCCCCCCCCACCATAACAGCTACACACCCCTGTAACAGCCACACCCACCCCTCCCCCACAACAGCCACACACCCCCAGTAACAGCCAAATATAGGGGCTCGTACAACAGTCAGTGGTTATACAGAACTGCCATTAATTGATTACACTGCAGAACACATCAAATTATATATGGAATATGAAGATACATTTACTATTAAAACGTAAGTGTTTTCATTACATTTATTTATACAAATTCTTTGAATCTTGTTCTAGTGATGTTTTATTATTTTAGCCCCTACTTTTAACAAATGGAACCCCTGAAATCATAAATTATACATATACAGTGTATTATATATATATATATATATATATATATATATATATATATATATTATATATATATATATATATATATATATATACAGTAGAACCTCTATTAACGAGTTTAATCCGTTCTGGCACCGAGCTCGTTACCTGGAAAACTCGTCTTTGGAAACAAATTTCCCCATTTAAAATAAAGGAAATAAATTTAATCCGTTCCACTCCCAAAAACATCCATACTTGTATGACTTTTTTTTATGTAAATATAATACTGCACATGTAAATATAAATGTTTTGTTGTAGTGTTTTAATATTTACTTTACCTTATGAAGAGTAGTTGCTGGCTTGAGGGAGACGATGGAGATGTGGGAAGGAGGAGAGGGGTTTTGGTGTGGAAGGAGAATCCACCTCTGAGTCAGGCGGACTCTCTCTTCTTGGGAATTTCACTCAAATTTCTTTTCAAATGTCACACAAGGATGTGTTAGACCAGCACCAAATAAAAAACTACGTTGATTACACTCGTTGTGTCAACAATATAATAGTCTTACCACGAAGATACAATACAATGCCGTTTTCTCAAATAGGCAATGTGATTATTAAAGAAAACGGAAATTTCATGGCAAACATGTATACAATCCCCAAGTCGATCGGATAAGAATTGGATTTTATAGAAATATTTGCTCAAATGATGCTTGAGAGCGGTGTTTGGGTGCATTCAAGAGAAAAAAAGTGTGTTACGTTCAAGCGACATATACCTGCGAAAGTGATAACACTTTCATAAAGTGTTATCACAAAGTGATAAATTAATTAAACATTTTCACACACTGGGTTGTCACTGCTTTATCAGGGCAGCTTTTCCAAGAATGCGTTCACCTTTTCAAACATTCCAAACACTTCCCTGATCTCAGTGGAAGAGGCAGCATCCTCCCTTACCTCCTCATTCCCTTACTAATGGTGTAAATTGTTGATGAGGACCTGACATACTTCCTTGTGAGATCAATCACACAGACACCACACTCATGCTTTGCTATAATTCCCTTCTTGAAATCCATAATAATTGTGTCTTTCTTCCTCTTGAAAACACTATCTTTAGCAAGCAGCTTCTTTGGAGACATCGTGTGTTACAAATTGTAGTCGCAAAACCACTAAAAACCTAAAGAAAAGCTCAAATAAATCCAGAGGGATGCTTGTCGTGTGAGATACAACAACAACACTGGCGTCGGAGGCGTCCGAGAATTTGCGAGAACCAGCGAGACGCTAGGAAGCGCCATGTGGTTTCACTCGTTAATAGATGCGAGCTCGTCAATAGAGACAAATTTGCTGCGAGTGGCTTGCTCGTTACTGGAAAAACTCGTTAATAGAGCCACTCGTCAATAGAGGTTCCACTGTATATATATATATATATTTGTCCCCTCTCGAACAGATATTTTCACTAAACAAATTTGTTTCACTTAACAAATTATGAAATTTTTGTCAGCTAATTTCTACAATATACAGGCAATTCATAACAAAGAATAGCAGTCCATTCAAGTTGAACAAATATGTATTCAGCCGTGTTGGTGAAAATATATACAGTATATAAGATAGAGACACATAACAACCGAGACATACGAAAAAATAATAGGATAACTTCAAAACTTTTCCTGGTCCCAGTTCCAGGGAATACAAACTTCCCCATCTACCATTACAGCATAGTAATGTGTAATCCATAGACGTGCACCTGACAGGAGCGGTGAAAGGCGGTAGGCGGAATCCAAAAGTCGTTCAAGGCACTCTATCATCATATTTGGCATTACAGAATCGTCATTTTCTAAAAATTCTAATCCAAGTTCTTCTTTGCACTTTTCATATAAATCTTTTTCTTTGTCTCGAATACTGAAATGACAAATGAAATACAATCTCACAATGTATTTATCTGCTTAAACCTTCATTTCTCATGTAGTTATTTTCTAAATGTAGATTAACATTTAGAGAAATCCACTTTCCAAAACATTACTTCAATTTTTATTAGGCCGAGATATTTTTATTTATATATAATGCTGAGATTTTGTTTAAGAAAAGCAGATTCATTTCTTACAAAGTACAGTACCAAAGTACAGTACAGTATATACTGTATTATGTTTGACAATGTCTACCTCATGACACCCTTTCTGGTAAAAAAACAATTAATGCTAGAAGACATACGTTTACCTCACACAGAAGTAAGGATGGCAAACATTGATATGTATAATACAAGTGGCCTTTGATCTGTACATGGGGAGACATTCCAGTAATAAATGGTAAATGACAAAATTGCTCAACTCGAGCTTAAAGATAAATACATGGCAAAATAGGGCTTTGTTCCATAAACCTGCAGGTCTAAAGTGTAGCTACTCAGAGTATACATTAGGGAAAATACTGAGGTGACCTTCCCATTAGAATAGAATACAATACAATACAGTTCTAGATGGTTTGGTTAAGTAGACAAAGTTTATAAAGCTGGCAAAAACAGAGTACAGAAGTGGAAAGTTAAAAGGTAGGAAGACAGAACAATGTGGAAGAATAAGGTGTTATGTACACATAAGAATGTTTAGTGGGAGATGGTGTCAAGGAAATAGATAGATTTCTTATGTTCATTAGATACTATTATCTACAACTATGAATGCAACAACATTACACAAGTTATCTATCGATTACTGCTACTGCTATAAACAACAAAATAAATAGGGTACAGTATGTATTCTATCATCAATGAATATAATAATGTTTTAAATCTCTTCCTGTTTACATTAAATTCAAACCTACTTCTTCCTACATACCTTTCATAATCACCAATTATCTTCTCTGCTTGCTCCATATTTTCTGTAATGAAGTTGACGAGTAGCCATGGCGGACACGAGGACGGAGCTAGAATCTGGCCAGTTGGAGACAGCATCAGTGGACCAGCGGCTCTACAAAATAATAGGCACCATAGGTAAATAATCCATTAAAAAAAAAAAGCGAACACTAATTTCTCTTCATAAATGTAAACCTGAGCATAGTACAGTGGTGTATGTCCTTGGCTCACAAGCGAGGGACCCGGGTTCAATCCATGGGCAGGACAGAATCAATTTGGTATGTTTCCTTTCACCTGATGGATCTGTTCACCTAGTGGTAAATAGGAACCTGGGAGTTAGGCAACTGTTGTTGGTTGCATCCTGGGAAAACTTAGTAGTTGGCCAAGGGAGACTTTGATAGGCATAAAGTACCGATTTCCTGTCCCCTGATAATTAGTTTAGTTAGGAATAACTTAACTAAAATAAAATAGACATCATGTAAGCTTATAGCTTATTTATTTTTTAACATTAAGTGCCTTACCCCCTCACACCTTTGTAAAAAAAAAAAAAACAGTGTTGAATGTAATGAAATGCCATTTTCTGGGCGAGACCCAGAGGCTCCCCGAGCTATACCGGGCTGATGTGTATACAGTATATTAGACTGTGACAACAGTCAATCAAGGGAGTTCTAAGCCTACTGGGGACCACAAACCAGAACCTGGCCCCCTCAGAGAGACACAAGGAGCAATGGCCTATAGACACCCCAGTGTAGCTGGAAGCAGTCTATATCTGCCATCTACCAGGTCAGGCACCTAGAAAGGTACGAATTACAAAACAAACTACAGCTGATTAAAAATTGCAAACCGAAAGTCAAACGAGCAAGCAGAACTCCCCAATCGGAAAACAAGCAAATAAGCATGATATCACCATAGCCGCCACACTGCAGTCTGCACAGTTTCCCCCTCCCCTGTGAGGGGGCAAAGATGATGAGTGTCACCCTTAAGACAATGGGACAGAGCAGCCTTCAAACTCGCTCAAAGTGAGATGGGACTCAGAGGATGCATCCATTGGACCAATGAGCCCCAATGGGGGTTTCCAGGGCCCTTAGATTGACTACTAAGGGAAGCACAGGCAAGATACTGCTATCCAGTTATCCCAGAACTACCAAACAAACAAGCAAAATGCTGAATCCCTGCGACGTGTGCAATCACGAGGACCTAGTGGAGGACCACCAAAATCATACAAGTGGTCCTACAGCCAGACAAGGCTGTAGGACCACTTGCATGACTTTGACCCACACCAGGCAAAACAAAACAAAAGAAAATAAACACCCTGCAAAAGCACAACGTCTCCAGGAGGATCAGAACTGGCCGCTATGCGTATTATAAGACAGTTGCACAGTACTTTGCACCCCTGCCAGCGATGATGCTTCCTCCTACCCAAGGCCAAACAGGGGTAGAAAAAAAAACCTGACCCCAAGGCCGGGCAATCTCCAAGCAGCATAAAAAACCTGCGGAGGTAGCCCCCAAACAGTTTGTGGAAGGTAACCCCAAACTGCAAGGGCAGTACTTACAGGGCACATATTGAAGGGAACCCTAGGCGCATGCAGCCCCAGTACTTCTGGAATAACACCTCGCTCACACACCACCACACGGCACAGCACTGCTTAAGGATTGGAGCCAGAGTCGATAGACCCCCATATGAGACAACAACCTCAGAAAAGGGGTTGGGTGGCCGGCACAGGAAGTCTGGGGTCTCCTCTTAACCCTCCGGGGGAGGGGGGAAGCTGCACAGACAGCAGCGTAGCGGCTGGGGTGATGTCATGCTTGTTTTCTGATTGGGGAGTTCTGCTTACTTGTTCGGCGTTCGGTTTGTAATTTTTAACCAGCTGTACAGTAGTTTGTTTTGATATTCCAACCTTTCTGAGTGCCTGACTTGGTAGATGGCAGATATAGACTGCATCCAACTACATGGAGATGTCTATTGGTCATTGCTCCTCGTGCCTCTCTGAGGGGAGGTCCAGGTTCTGGTTCGTGATCTCCGGTAGGCTTGGAACTCTATCGCTTGACTGTTGTCATGGTCTAATATACAGTGGAACCTCGATTAACGAGCGGCTCTATTAACGAGTTTTTCCAGTAACGAGCAAGCCACTCGCAGCAAATTTGCCTCTAGTGACGAGCTCGCCTCTATTAACGAACAAAACCACATGGTGCTTCCTAGCATCTCGCGGGTTCTCGCAAATTCTCGGACGCCTCCGACGCCAGTGTTGTTGTTGTATCGCACACGACAAGCATCCCTCTGGATTTATTTGCGCTTTTCTTTGGGTTTTTAGTGGTTTTGCGACTACAATTTGTAACACACGATGTCTCCAAAGAAGCTGCTTACTAAAGATAGTGTTGTCAAGAGGAAGATACAATTACTGTGGATTTGAAGAAGGGAATTATAGCAAAGCACGAGTGTGGTGTCTGTGTGACTGATCTCACAAGGGAGTATGGCAGGTCCTCATCAACAATTTACACCATTAGTAAGGGAATGAGGAGGTAAGGGAGGATGCTGCCTCTTCCACTGAGATCAGGGAAGTGTTGGGAATATTTGAAAAGGTGAACGCATTCTTGGAAAAGCTGCTCTGATAAAGTAGTGACAACCCAGTGTGTGAAAATGTTTAATTAATTTATCACTTTGTGATAACACTTTGTGAAAGTGTTATCACTTTCGCAGGTATATGTCGCTTGAACGTGACACACTTTTTTCTCTTGAATGCACCCAAACACCGCACTCAAGCGTCATTTGAGCAAATATTTCTATAAAATCCAATTCTTATCCGATCAACTTGGGGATTGTATACAGGTTTGCCATGAAATTTCCGTTTTGTCTAATAGCCACCTAGCCTATTTGGGAGAACGGCATTGTATTGTATCTTCGTGGTAAGACTATTATATTGTTGACACGACGAGTTTAATCGACGTAGTTTTTTATTTGGTGCTGGTCTAACGCAGCCTTGTGTGACATTTGAAATGAAATTTGGGTGAAATTCCCAAGAAGAGAGAGTCCACCTGACTCAGAGGTGGATTCTCCTTCCACACCATAACCCCTCTCCTCCTTTCCACCTCTCCATCGTCTCCCTCAAGCCAGCAACTACTCTTCATAAGGTAAAGTAAACATTAAAACACTACAACAATACATTTATAATTACATGTGCAGTTTTATATTTACATAAAAATATGTCATACAAGTATGGATGTTTTTGGGAGTGGAACGGATTAAATTTATTTCCTTTATTTTAAATGGGGAAATTTGTTTCTTAAGACGAGTTTTCCAGGTAATGAGCTCGGTGCCAGAACGGATTAAACTCGTTAATAGAGGTTCCACTGTATACACATCAGCCCAGTATAGCTCCGGGGAGTCGAAGGAGCTCTTCACAGAAAATATTTTTTTGTCTATTTTTTTTTTGTTTTTGCCTGAAAAGCTTTGCATAATAGTGGCTTCATAGATTGTGCAACTCCTGTCCCGACAACTTGTACATTAATCTTATGTCCTTTGTACACACATTCTTTTGAATAAGCATTGTATTGTATTATATATATAACCAGTAATTGTCCAGACATATTGTTAGAGTAATCAAGATTTCACATGCAGTACTTACGATTCTACCACAAGCTGTAGAGAAGACAGTGTTTGTGGCCAAGATTTTGGGAAGCCTTCACGACCTTGATAATCTCCAAGGGATGTAACTAGACGTCTAAGATGCTGAATGTAATGTTCCACAAGCACAAATGGTTGGTATTTCCTGAAATTCAAATACATTTATAAATTTAAGGAATAATATATATTTCTTACACCTCATGAACAAAAATTTTCTGCAAACAAATATTACCAGAATTTTACTGTCTGCATAAAACAAACTTCAGGCCTCATTTATTTTAGAGTCAACTTTATCTGAAGATAATAAAATATGTACGCTATGTATATGCAAACTGTATTATCATAACTGTATCCAGTGGATTCTTGTACTGTATCAGGATGGTATCATTAGCAGCTTACGCTCAGATGAAAATAAAAAATCAGTTGTCGAATGTAATAAATATCCTTTCTGATGGGGAGGGGGGGGGGCCCTCAGGAGATATGCGAACACACTGATACTGTATAGCAAAGCCTTAGGAATTACACCAGATTTCCGAGACTCTTGCTGACCCACCAGAAGCCAGGATCAGACTCTGGATCTCTCTACAAGGTGATTTTGGGAATTTGAGATCTATTCAAAACTGAGAAAAAAACCCTGTTGCTAGCCACTTTGCTCAGCTCCTCACCTTTCTGGTTACATCAGGCTCTTGCAAGTCAGAGACTACAGAATACCAAAAACCAAAACCTGGTCCGTGTTCACCGGAAGCTCCCAGAACAGTCAGCAAGCTGATCTGGGGGCCAAAATGCAACACTGACTTACACAGGAGGGTTAATGTGGTGGCTGCCTGTTGCTATTTCACCATGGAGAACAAAAAAGAAAAAAAGGGGATTCACCAAGGGAGGAGGAAAGCATAAGTTCATGACCTCAAAGGAGAGGGAATTAATGGTGGGGTAACTCTACCCAGAGCCACTAAAGCCTAGCACAGACCAGAAACATATACCAGATAGACCCAGCAATGCACTATTTGAATGCCAAAACCCCAAACCTGAATATCAGCCAAAGTCACAGTTCCCCAGAAAAGTGGACAAAGTTGCATACAGTACTTCCTCCTTCCATCATGGATCCGAAGGTAGACCGCAGGCTGGTTAGACTTTGATACTGCACATGACCTACGTGAGATGGGCCCTGGAACAAGGGGGCCATGAACACCAAGTCAACAAACGTGTCCCCTGAAACATCTCAAGTTGTGTGCAAATAACAGTGGACAGCTCCAACCAGATATAAGAGATGATGCACCCCTGCCAAGCATACCAAGTCATATCTACCAAAGGACTCCCTTCGAAAGCAGATGCTGTATCTCATCCTTAGCCAGAAAAGAAGGCTGCAAAGGAACAGAACCCCTGCTTCCAAAGAGGGTTCTCAAGCCAGACAACCAGTTGCAGGTAAAGAAAAAATTTCGAGAAATAAAGTCACAGACCGAAGATGAAATGGAAAACTGAGGAAATGAACTAAAAACCAAAATCAGTCAAGAGATCAAGAAGACTAGGAGGAGAATGACCAGGCTGGGGTGAAAGAATGCATGAGAATTTGCAAAATGGCACTGACGAAGTGTCATCACCAAACGGCAACAAAAGCACCTCTGCTAGAACTGAGCAATAAGAGGTGAAAGTACTGTATTCAGTATGAGGTGCCCATCCGAAGAACACCCAAGACAAAAAGAACAGTACCACTGAGATAAAAATGGAGAGGCAACGAAGAGAAAGGAACAGAAAAAAGGATTACTAAGAAACTTCATACTGTTGCCATAACGAAAGATGCAGTTGGAACACTAATAGGGCAGCTACTAGAGGAACATGCAGATGGTGATAGTCCAGGATAAATAAAAGAAAATGCGAAGATTGGAGGAGAGCCTCAATCAGCAAGGAACGACTCCGGCCCAATCTGCTGTAAGAAGCGGAGATGTGGAAAATGTCATGGGTTCAGACAATGAGCTAGAAAGACTTGGAACCACAGCTGAGCCAGCCATTAAGGAAGCAGAAGACTATTCTGCCTGCAAAAGTCTCCAGTCTAGACAACAGAAGCAACAGCTGAACTAGTAGGAACAGATAAATGAACCTTCACCAATTACAGTTTAGCTGAAAAGTATCCACAATAAGAGTCTTGTAAACGGGGAATGGAGCCATGTAGGAGGGAAGCCACTGATTCCACGCTGATAGAAAGAGGTTCTCCGATTCCTGGTGGATGACGTAACTTTTCAGGGATCTGCCACACATTTCGTGTCTCTGATGGACATCATTGCATCTGTGCAGAACCACATGTTGCCTGTCTGTATGACCCCATTTCATAATCAAGATGCATCCTCAGTGGAGACCATGTACATAGATTGCAATTAGGAGATTATACTTTTGTTTCCTCCAGTCACACTCCTGCTTCGGGTCTTAGAAAAACTGGATACCGCTTTTTTCTGGGCAACATGATTTTGCCTGGCTCATAGTCAGTTCAGTCTAGGTTTCCTTGTGTTCTAGCCATGTGTTCCAGTCTGTTACCCTATCATGCTCTGTTTCTCTTGCAGTAAATTGAGTGGCTGTATTCATATTGTTCCAGACTCTTTGCCAATCTTCATATATGGAGTTTCTAATTCAGATCTATTGCAACTTGTATAGCAAATAGTGGCAGAGATCTTGCTTAAACCATAATTCAAGCAATATAAAGTGGCTTGGTGGCTTGACTTGCACTGCACAGTTTTTGGTCATTCACTAGGAGTTGATTCTCTTTGTGGCAGTGCTTGTCATACTTCACCTAGATTTCAAGGAAAGATATCTTATGCAGAACACAGCATTGTTGCATGCTCTGGTGCTTGGTTTGGCAGGTAATTGGCTACTAGATGGAGACTTCATCTGGCCTTCTTATAAGATCACAAAGGAGAACTCCTACAAAGTGTTGAAGACTAAAGGTTGGTCAGAGCTTATCTTACCTTAAGGGCCAACCAAATGACTGTGCTCAAAAACATGTTTTCCATATTTGTAGTTACATGAGAATAATGTATAAATGGGAAGTTTTTTACTGTATGTAGTAACTGTTTAATAAATTAACTAAATACTGTTAAGCTACTTTTCTACCAACAGAGATAGGCAAAATATGTATGACCAAATTCAAAATAAATTTCATAAAACATTTAAATTAAATATACTGTAATATATATACAGTAAGATCTTCCAACACAAGCTTCCTGAATGGAAGAAAAATCTTACCGATGAGTTACTTGAATCTCTCGTAAAGCATTTGAAACAGCTTTCTGCATGCCAGGAATTCGCTGGATCATTGGATCTTGCTCAGGAAGTTTGCATATAACCTATAAATATATGCAACTTGTGAAAAATCATAATCTGAATAAACTTCACAAATAATAGTTTTTGTTTCTGGACTGCGTACTGCCTGCTCTGTATCTCCCTCAGCTTATGTCATCAACACTACCTTGCTCAGCCCCGGTGATAATCACAGCCCACTGGGAACAAACACTACACATCGTCTTGTTCCTTCTGAGGGGATTAAAGATTAACCCACTATTGAAGCAATTTGCCCACAAGAATTTAAAAGTAGTAACAAAATACAGTACTCAATCTTCCTTTGAGAAATGTTTGGATATCACTGAACTACAAAATAATACTCTTTAACAAGTTCAGAACTCGCCACATTGTCTTTCCCTATTACCACCCAGGTGTAGCCTGACCTACCTTGGTGAGGCACTCGGTTCATTATTCCGCCTGGAGCTCAGAACAATATGTTACATAGTTCTAGTGGAGACTGCTGCTATACAGTATCTCTATCCTTTGGACTTGAAGACATCCATGTGACTGTGGTTCAATCTTAGAACGTTGTTATGGCCACATGGTCGTGGCCTCACACAAACAGGTACTGAAAACAAGCACCAGTGACAGTCATCCACAAGTACGTAGTTTAACCAAGTAAATGATTTTTACCGTATCTTGCGCCTTGCTGTCCAAGTGTCCCAACTGACAAGGGGAAGGTGGGGAAGAAGGCAAAAAGCATTCTGAGATAGGAACTAGATTGCAGCGTGTAGATAGATGTTCTCAGGTAGATTCGCTACTTTGTATCTTTGATATTATACATGTTTTAGATTGAGGATAGTGTGAATATTTCTGGTATTTGTTAGTGCATATTTTGAACAGTGATTCAGCTATTTGATGTGCTTATCACATGATTTTGCTGCTGCTAACATTTTGTTTATTATTTCAAGGCTTCACCTAATGTTACAATTTTTACATTATAATAAACAACAGTTAAAAATATTATATAAGTCAATCATTCTTTGTTCCTCCACACTGGCAATATTGTGCTGGCCTGTGAGGGCTGTCAGCACTTGCTGAATTATTCATAACAGTATATTCATGTGCACGTATGATACTTATATTGCACATATCTTCTGCCATAGTCCATTTCAGCTTTTGTTTCAGGATTATCTTTTCTGGGCCCTGTTGCAAAGACTTAACTACCACCTGGTGGCAGTAGGGCAAAACAGTTTGGCAGTTGTTAACTCGTTACAAAAACTTTGCTTGATAGTTCAATAATCTTCCAACATTTCTCAGAGAGTGGTTAAGTGCTTTCTGACTGCCTTTAAAGTCTGTAAGTAGTTCACCTTGATAGTTGGCTGATATTTGCTCCCCTTCATGCTCTCCACCCTATGGATAGGCAAGACATTATATTATTATGCCTGCCTCTGGTAGATTGAGGTATTGAGACAAATTTGGTATAGATGTAAAATTCCCCTAAGGTGCCAATGACATAATCTGAGAGCAACTACTGAAATGCTACTAAGTGACATTTAATTCTATTTATAGCAATTGTAATACAGTAGCACACAAAATTTCACTTGAAAAACTACAATACTACTAGATAGAATTGTATCTAAAGCATTTTATTATATTCATACAATGAGTCAAAATAGTGTAACTGAAGATATGTGACCAAACCACACATCAGAAAATAGAAAACGATGTTGTTTTGGTCCATCCTGAACCATTATCAAGTTATTTAACAGAAGAGAGGAAGGGACAAGAGTAAATAAAGAGTGAGATGAGAGATGAGCAGGTAAGAGAAAAAGGTAAGAATACCTTTCATCCCAATCATTGAATAGGATGAAAGTAAGAATAAGAAAAGGGGGAAAGAATAAAAGACAGGAGCAAAGCTTAAGTCTGCATGCTTGATACCTGCTTGATGGGGTTCTGGGAGTTTTTCTCCTCCCCAAGTCTGGCCCGAGGCCAGGCTTGACTTGCTCACGTTTGTTAAGAAGGTTAGAGCATTTAAGTACTGTATGTACTGTACTGTGAAACGGAAGAGTCAACAGCAACAAAGTTAGGGCTAAGGTTCATGTTGGGCATGTTGTGTATGTTGCTGATTTGACAAGACGACATCTGTGCAGAGTAGAGGCAGGAAATATTATTTTTTTAGAAGACCAACACTCTATAGGATGATTAGAGTCCCTAACATGACAGAAGAGTTGAATTCTCATTGTCAAGGACAGCTAGGAAACCTGTACTAAGGCTTGACAAGGTCTCAATAAACATAGGCCAACTTGTTGGAATAGCTGGAATTTTTTTAACGGAACTGGAATTTTTTTGTTGGCAGAATTGGATTTTTTTTTGTTGGTCTGGTTGTTTCTCCCTGTTTTGGCGGTGTTGGATTATGTAAGCAGAATGGTGGTCCTTCTGGCTCCTTGGTGGTTGGCCCGGCCTTGGTTTCTGGTGCTGCTTGCTTGGTATCCGACTTGGGCATTTTCTGTGGCTCTGTCTTTTTCAGAGGGTGGGCCTGGTTTTGTACTTTGCTGGTCTGATTTTCTTCACCACTCTTCACATCTGGTGTTATGAAGTGTGTGGATCACCCTCTCTATGATGATCAGGTGGTTTGTTAACACTTTCGCGTGCCCGGCAGGCGACACGCCGCGCACCACAAGGTAGGCCAAGTGTTGATCATGAGCTCACAAACCACTCAAATGTTTATAATCTTTTCAGCTTTCTCATCTCAATTTACATGCTATGTCATTCATATTGTTTGCAATATGAATGAAATTGTTGAAACTATCAAATTGTTTGCAATATCATGGTGCACATTTTAAACTCAGTCCAATAATATTCAGATAAAAAATGTAATTTTTACACATTTATTAATCCGCACAGTAGGCCGAGCGTTGGCCATGAGCGTACAAACCACTCTCAAATGTTTATACTCGTCTCACCTTTCTCACTACCTTTTGTACTACATCATTCATTGTGGTATCAAACTGTTCGCAATATCATGGTGCGCATTTTAAAACCAGTCCCATAATATGCGGACAATAAATGGAATTTTTATAAATTTATTAATTGATGACGGGGTTACAGTCAACAAGGCCCCTGCGTATTTTGGTTTTATGACATCAAGACCATCATCAGAATTCGAAAGTGTTAAGAGTGTCTCACCTGCAGTCCTTCCAGCGACAGTTTGTGTTGGCTTGACATACATTCCTCTGTTTTACCCCTTCAATGTCAAAATGTTTCCAAACTCAACCATTTTCATTTCAAAACACCAAGAGTGATGAAAACATTAAAAATCATTAAAATATAGCCTAATTAATAAAAAAAAAAGCACAACTCTCAGATCCCCTTAGGGTGCTCGGCGTAGTACAGTGGTTAAACTACTTGTGCTAACAAGAGATATTGCAAAAGTACTTCTGAGCTTAACAAATATTTTTTACAAAAGATAATTTATAACTGTAAACAACCGACCTTTAGCCATTGATTGCGAACTTCAGACGTACTAAGAATGACATTTCCCTCCAAACTCACACCAGTTTCATTCCCAAAATGAATTGCCCGACCTGTTGATAAAAGAAACCTTAATACTGTATCTTCAATATACTTCCTGCTGCATAGTGTGTTACTGATGCCAAATATGGGTAGATACTTTCATATACTGTACAGTGCAGAATAATCACAAAAAACATATGATTCGGTTATGAGTAAGTATCCACTATGTTCTGATGAAAGTTCCGAACGTTTTCGTGTTTCAACACATTATCAAGAAAATACGGAAGGATGATATAAGAGTTTGGGATTATATACCCAACTATGCCTGGCTAGACAAAGAACCATAAGCTAAAACATCAATTTGTGGAGGTGAGATGATTAAGTGGATATTAACTGGGTATTCTTTCATTCCTACACTATTTTTATACCTTTCACAAATCTTACCAATTATAAAGTTATTTAATTTATATAATCATGGACTGATATTAATATTATCTAATTTACTACTTTTTTGATAAATGATGATTTAATAATAATTCTTTCAGTAACTGATTTACAATCCACAATTTTGCATGAATTAACTCATTAAATTGAATGATTTTAATATCTTGAGTGAAAAAATAATGCATTGCACTCTTGACCAGTTCTTATACTATGTTTATGTTCTTTTATTCTCTGGTCATGATACTCATCCTGTAACTACACTTAGGGAATTAAACTCTCACACACTCATTCTCACATTCACATTCTCACAATTTCACTTTCTCTCTCACTTTTGAAATAGTGCAATGACATGTAATTAAAAAATTTTCCAACCCTAAAAAAATAAAGAGAGCCACAAGGAGAGATCCAAGGCATTAAACACGCCAAAGCTAGTAGATAGAGGGCAATGAGGCGATATGATCACCTTATACAAAATGCCTTTACTAACTGGACTAAATCCTGTTGCTGGTCCAGCCCTAGATTAATCAATAAGCATGTGCTTAGGGGTTCAAGTAAAGAGAGATCCCCAAAAAGTTTTTTTCCAGCGCTGGATTTACAATTGACCATGGTGCAGTGTGTTGTAGCTGAACCAAGACCCATAAAATAGTGGCCCATAATAAATTAAAAAATATTCATACAGTTTTAATATAATTATAGTATGCCATGTATCTTCAAAGCAAGAGAGCAATGGAATAATAGGCATTTAGTTTCATATAAATAATGATATCGATTCATTAGAATATATATATATATATATAATATATATATATATATATATATATATATATATATATATATATATATATATATATATATATATATATATATATATATATATATATATATATATATACACACACACACAGTATTTTACAGTTTACTATCGTTTCTATTTTAAATTACATATAGGGTATATCGGGGTGCCATAATCTCTTCAGTGCTTAGGGCTTCTAAAATTCTTAATCAGGCCCTTTGCTGGTTTCTGTTAGGTCCTAGTGAAATAATTGTTAATAATTAATAATTGTTAGTGCCTGGTGTGGTACTGAAGGTTTGTAAGTTCACCAGTGCGTAGCTCAGGAAGATGCCAAAGGGGCTCCTCCCAGAAAAGATTTGATTTGATGTATATATGACTTTACATGACATACTGTACTAACAATCTGGGTTTCACTGCATCCTCCTTCGAAATCCAGAATTTTTCTGAGAAATTTGAATTTCTCAGGAAAAATCTAGTTATCAGATCTGATCTGTTGTTTAGAGCAGTGGTTCCCAAACTCTTAAGGGGTCATTTCCCCTTTTTCATATAGCATCCTTATCAATCACTCAGTATTAAATTTCTGTTTACCATCCTGTGAGCTCACTCTACTACAGTAGCTGGTTATTTACCCCTTACCCATTGCATCAAAACCAAAGGCTAGGGAATAAAGCACTGCTTCATCTTATGGCCCCTTACATATTGCAAAAAGGCCTCCCCCCCCCAATGGAGCAATGACCCCCAGTTTAGGAACCAGTGGTTTACAGGGTTTTGTTAAACGGAGGGGCCAAATTCTCGTGGGTGCATTGTACTGAACTGCATAACTTAAACTACATAACATTATATAGAAATCTTACAATTAACATTAGTCTAATAAATAAAGTGTGTTCACCCTGCAAAACATCCTTGATTTCCTGATGATGCGTGGTTAAAGCTATAAGTCCCTGAAGGCATCCTCGCAGGTGTGTTAGGCCAAGTCCTCGCTGCCAAGACAAGCGAGTCAAATTAAGCTCTTCTATCAACCAAAGTCGAAGTCGTATAATATCTTGACGAACTGGTTCACTGACAGCTAATCTTCGCTCAGCTTCCCCCATATTCTTGATGAGCCAGGAACTGCATTAATAAATTATAATCCAGTTCAAAGGTATAATGCTTTAATACTAAATTTTGTTGATCAATGACACAGGAATGACATGTAGCCATATGAAATGTGCAATATGAAAAATATATAGAAGACTGAAAAGTAGAAAAAGAAGAAATGCATAAAAGATTGAAGAGAAAGATAAATACAGATTTTTCAAATAGAAAAGTATTTGAGGATCTAAAATGTAGACTAGAATGGCAGAGGAAGAGTATTTGGATTTATATAAGAATAGAATAGAAAAATCATAGGAAAAGTATTTGGAGTTTTGTAAGAACATAATAGAATGGCAAGTGAAACTGTGTGAAAACCATTCCTGCTGGATAGAAAGACAGCAAAGTGGGAATTGGTAAAATGGAGATAACATGAAGAAAAAAAACACAATTAAATAGTGAACAAAAGAAGACAGTTCGATATGGTTCATATGAAGGCAGTGACTAGTGTATTGTGTACGGGGGGAGGCAATAATTACAGGCTAGTGGATTGTATACGGGGGGGAAGCAATAATTACAGGCGTGTGTAATGAGTATAGGCTTGTACCATGAGGACATGTTGTAGGAAATATATACCAAAACAAGTTACTGTATATCTATATATTTATACAGTACCATGTTTTAGGTAGTAATAGAATTCGGTTTTTATCTTGGGATAAAAACTGGTGTTAGCAACTTTACCATACTGTACTATGGTACTTTTCTTTGCTTGGCAAACATTTTTAAACAAACCAAAAACAAAAATGAAATTTTAAAAAACATCACAGAAAGCTTACTATAGTTTTTCTCTCCTGGCTGTATAGAGCTCATCTTCTGGGTTGAAGGGTCTTGTGCTATCATAAAATGGTCGATGATAGTTTATTTTCCTATCCGGCTGGTGCAGTGTCTCGGGAAGATTATCTACATATTTGGTAGGAAGATCAAAATCACTAAGAATTCTTTGCACAGTGTCCCGAGCTGATGTTTTATTCAGCTTAAGTGCTATTGTGTTTAGGGTACCTGAAAGTAAAATTTCCATAAACACAGACATGGTTAATGATACATACTGACGATGTTTCAAAATGAGAAAATGAGCAGTTTGGAATTAATGAAAATGTAGTAATCTCAGATATACACCTGGTCTCTGATATTTGTGAAGGATGCAGTTTTTTAATTTTCTGCATATACAGATACAGTACTGAAAATACAGATATTAAACTTAAGTTTGAATATAATGCGAAAAAATTATTTTCCAGATATAAAAAAAAAAAAATGGGAGAAATCCTTGAGTAGGTCTCCAAGCTTAGCTCTAGTAGGACCCAAACTTAGCCCAACACACGAGGACTTTGACTCCTATCCATTGCCTACTGGGAACCAGCAGTGGCAGCTCGCTCATAGGAACCGCTGAACTGTGGTCCCCACAGACACTCACTGCCAAGTGTATGACTCCAACCTCACACTAGAATAATAAGCAACAGACAAATTTGTCATAACAAAAAGTCTTTATACTGTATGTTATTTTCAATGTATTTACTGGATAACCAAATTTTGAACATTTTCATTAAAACGAGACATAAATAGAGGTTTCATGCTATATGATAGTGAAGCTTGCAATGATGCAGTCTCTCCAAGCTATTTTTCCACGAGCTGCCACTGGGAACCAGGACCAGAACCAGTCTCACTTGTGTGAGAACCAGACTCACTCGACGATGCAAGAAGAGCTTGGGATCAGAGATTATCCACACAACTCGGGAAATCCTACCAGAAAGCATAGGCACAACAAAACAAGCAATTATTTGAAGAATATTAGGTACTCCCAGCAAAACTGATTTTCCAGGGAAAGCCACCACTTGGCTGAAAATGTGAAGCAGTTAGCAAGTCCTGCAGGGGCAGGTGTTGAGTCTGTGGCACCAGGTAAAAGCACAAAAGGGCAACAGGGCAACACCTTGGGTGACCCAAGCTACCATCTGGTGGTGGGCAGGTGCATAACAGTTAGGGTATTTACCTTGTAGCATTAATCATTCACCTTGCTGACCTTGGGGTGCCTAATTTCCATCAACTAGTCACCTGTTTCATTGTGTGTACTTTCTGGTTGGTTTTTCTCAATTTTAGATTTACGTTCTGGTTAGTAGTAGGCAAGGATTGGTCTTAAAGGCATGGTGTGTTTAGCTATGGCCTGACAGTACCAAAGTTAAGTTTTAGAGGAAAAACTGAGGTCCCTCCATGCCAATAATTTTATCCCCTTTTTATATATATAAATTAATGTGTAACTATTCACCATATTAATATGATCAAACTGTATGTACAAAACAAAACAGTAACAATATTCTCAATATTTTTTGTTTTCATATAACTATAAACACAAACAAAATTATATAAGAAATATTAGTTGGAGCCCTGCATAATTTAACCAAAAATTAATATTCATACCTTGTGTTTTCTTATTCTTGACATAGAACTGGAGGCTAATAGGCCTTGGTTTCTCATGTTTGATGAGAGAATCGAGATGGCTATTGAGTACCTTGAGGGAAGCATCATTAACATGTTGGGCTCTTGGATGCTGGCCAAAAAGATCCGGATGAACAAGAAAGTAGAAGGGCCGTAAGGCAGTTGTCACTTGAGCAGAAGACAAGTATCTATGAGAGTTCTCAATCTCATATGAAGACTTTCTGAGTAATCTGCAGGTTACAACATACCTGAAATAGAGTTATACAGCCTTTATTTCCAGTTTACTATATTCTTTCCATAATACTATACTGTATATACGGTACCCGTAAATACAAACATACAACTAAACTTTTCATGTGCTAATACAACACAGAAAAGTTTAATAGCCTTGTGAGAAGCTCATTTATGACCACATTTTATTAATTAAATATATTTCTTAGCTCTAAAAGTTTCATAAATTGCAATAAGGCAAGTTTAACATGTCAATACCAGCAATGCTGGTATTGGTATTTCTCACATTTCTCACCCAGGCAGGATTATATTGTACAGTATAAGGACCTTGGGAGCACTGAGATGGAATCTATCCAAAGTTATCAAAGGCTCTTGGTCTGTATACAAGCTCAAGTAATACAGATTTAAAGTAACAACACACTCTTGATCTAATGATGGGAATTCTGGACACCAATCAACCACTCACAGCCCCCACAAGGCACACCTAACCAGTGCCAGGTAGAAATGCTGTACCCAGTCTGAAGCAGTTCTCACTAATCACTTTCCACTTACATCCTGAATAACTATAGAAAAGTGATGGATGAATGGGAATGGGAGCAGCAGAGGTGATGTTGCAGTGAGGACGTAGTTACGTAGGCAGTGATGGTGAAGGAGTAAAATGGTCAATGTAGATAACTGTTTTTTCTTTATTTTAAAAACATGTTAATACAATTAAAAGGCAAGGTACCGAAGCACCAGAACATCGGAAACACAGAATATATACAAATAAAAGTAGTAAAGCTGAAGAACAGAATCTGACTTAACTTTACACAAATCCCAAAACAAAGCACAAAGACAAACAGGAAAACAGAAAAAGTACTGAAACAACTTCACCCACCAAACAACATACGTACGGGTGCAAAATGTCATCAAAACACACAAAATTAACATATATAAGGGAACTTGACATCACAGATGCAACAGAATATTCACAAAATAAAAGTACAGTACACATAAGGGACCCCTACACACAGAGGCCATAACCACCCACCAAGAGCAAACATACCAATTGGAAGCACAGCTCCAGCACTAAGGTAACTGGTGACCCCCCAACATTGAGGTAACTTTCTTTTTTTTTTCTTTTTTTCATAAAATAAGTATACAAATAAAAAAAAAAAATAATACACCAAAGCAACACAGCTAAACCCAGAGAGCACAAAACACAACTCGAGGATAAACATGAATGTATACCAATACAAAAACTGTGTACCACAACATAGCATACACACAAATGACCCTGACACATCTCACTGCAATACCCCTCAAACAAAAGGGGACACATGGAAGGCAAATTATCCCATACAAACCACATACAAAACATAACACAATGCAGACTAGAATACAAAATCACCACCTAAGCCTTAGAGGCCCAGCCAATCAGTACAAGCTGTAACCCCACACAAGGAAACAACACCAGCCTCCAAAACATCCTCGGGCATTACACACACAAGTCATAATAGCACGATGCATCAAATTAACAAATCCACAAGGGCCGTGACGAGGATTCGAACCTACGTCCGAGATCATCCCAGACGCTGCCTTTATCGACTGAGCTACGACATAGTCAAAAAGAGTTGAAACGAAGTTGTATAATGAAGTAAGGGTGAAGAGGGAGACCGGCCTATTGACATAGGTCGAGTGCATGGGGGAGTTGTGTAAAACCCTGGTTTGTGTCTCGGAGAGGCTGCAGGATCTAGTAAGTTCAGTAGAACTTCGGTTTCAACTCTTTTGACCATGTCGTAGCTCAGTCGATAAAGGCAGTGTCTGGGATATCTCAGATGTAGGTTCGAATCCTCGTCACGGCCCTTGTGGATTTGTTTATTTGATGCATAACGCTATTGTGATTTCTATGTGTAATGAAGTAAGGGCGAAGAGGGAGAACGGCCTATTGACATAGCTCGAGTGCATGGGGGAGTTGCGTAAAACCCTGGTTTGTGTCTCGGAGAGGCTGCAGGATCTAGTAAGTTCAGTAGAACTTCGGTTTCAACTCTTTTGGCCATGTCGTAGCTCAGTCGATAAAGGCAGCGTCTGGGATATCTCAGATGTAGGTTCGAATCCTCGTCACGGCCCTTGTGGATTTGTTTATTTGATGCATAACGCTATTGTGATTTCTATGTGTAATGAAGTAAGGGCGAAGAGGGAGAACGGCCTATTGACATAGCTCGAGTGCATGGGGGAGTTGCGTAAAACCCTGGTTTGTGTCTCGGAGAGGCTGCAGGATCTAGTAAGTTCAGTAGAACTTCGGTTTCAACTCTTTTGACCATGTCGTAGCTCAGTCGATAAAGGCAGCGTCTGGGATGATCTCGGACGTAAGTTTGAATCTTCGTCACGGCCCTTGTGGATTTGTACACTTTTTTTCTTCTGAACCCATGAGGAGATATCAACATTTTCTATTATATTTGTATAACATTTCAAAGTTCAGACTAAACAAGAAATCAAGTATTTCTCCTTGTGTGTAGACTTACAACATGACGCAGATAAGGCGACCACTCTAACCATGTCCAATATATGAAAAATACTCACTGGCAAATTACACCTACCACTTGGACAGATGGTATGAGTATAGCAGCGACATTAATAAAATTTAACAGCTTTTTTCACGATTTCTATAGCAATAATTTCTTATTTTTCCTAGGGACGGACAGAACCAAAACACAGCATCAGCTGGCGTAGGTAAACAATCCTTGAAAGGCTACTTGTGCCGACTAGTTACCTATTTCACTCTGAAGCAGAAAAAAAACAATAATAATTAAAAGAATAAAAAATGATACACAAACATAATAATAACGGGACTCCTTATTATAATTCACTACAACGTGTCCAGCGTAGGATGACAAAGTTAATTCCGCAAATTAGAAACTCTGTCATGTGGGTCTCGGTAGTGCAGTCAGGTTCATTCTCTACGCATAATAATAATAATAATAATTTTTATTTAGGTAAGGTACATACATAAAGAGATTTTACAAAGTTTGTTGGCTTTATAGATAGAGCTAGTACATAAATGCCTAAAGCCACTATTACGCAAAGCGTTTCGGGCAGGAAAAACATTAATGACTAAAGCTTAAAACTAATGGGTAAAAAGAAAAGATGTGATGAGTACATATAAAAAATAGAGGTAAAAGAGGGGGGGAACATTGTTGAAAAAGCAGCACAAATACAACTACAAATTATTACAGAAAATTACATTCAAACAGCGTTGATTTGAAAAACAAAAAAAACAAAAAACATACATGGGTTGACAACAGAGGGGTAAGGTGGGTTACATGGAATTTATTAGGTATAGCTTCGTTTTTAACTTAAACTGGTTGAGAGAGGTACAGTCTTTAACATGGTTGGGAAGGTCATTCCACATTCTGGGCCCCTTGATTTGTAGAGCATTTCTGGTTTGATTTAGTCGTACTCTAGGAATATCAAAACTGTATTTATTTCTAGTGTGGTGCTCATGGGTTCTGTTACAACCTTCTATGAAGCTTTTGAGATCAGGATTGGCATTATAGTTTAGCGTTTTATATATGTATAATACACATGAGAGAATGTGCAGTGACTTAATGTCTAACATATTCAGAGATTTGAGTAGGGGTACCGAGTGATGTCTGGGGCCAGAATTGGATATTGTCCTAATAGCAGCTTTGTGTTGAGTAATTAGAGGACGTAAGTGATTTTGGGTAGTAGAGCCCCAAGCACAAATACCATAGTTGAGATATGGATAGATAAGGGAGTAATAGAGAGTCACCAGGGCAGGGCGTGGTACATAATATCTGATCTTAGAAAGAATGCCCACAGTTTTTGAAACTTTTTTTGATATGTTTAGAATGTGTCCCTGGAAATTCAGCTTGTGGTCAATGAGAATGCCAAGGAATTTGCCATCTAATATGTTACAAATTTGGGTATTGTTTATTTTGAGATTTATTTGATTAGAGGATTTATTGCCAAACAGAATATAGAAAGTTTTGTCAATGTTAAGGGTGAGTTTGTTGGCAGTTAGCCACAGATGGACTTTATTAAGCTCAGTATTTACTGTGGCATTTAGAGCAAGGGGATCAGGACTGGAGTAAATGAAGGTTGTGTCATCAGCAAATAGAATTGGTTTGAGGTGTTGGGAGGCATTTGGAAGGTCATTAATGTAGAAGAGAAAGAGGAGAGGGCCAAGTATGCTGCCCTGGGGAACACCAATGTTGATGGGTAGTGTGGGAGAAATTGTATTATTCACAGAAACACATTGGAGCCTGTCAGTAAGGTATTTGAGGTATTTGTAGGGAGTGTCCTCTGACACCATAATGATGTAATTTAAGAAGAAGGTTTTGGTGGTTGACAGTATCGAAAGCTTTACGCAGGTCCACAAAAGGAAGCAAATTAGAGATCAGCCCAAGCTTCGTCTTGAGGCAAAGCTCAACGCCTTAAGCCATATTGATGCTCTGTCCACAGAGCATTCTCTCTCTCAAATTATATACACTGATGGTTCCCTACACCGCACCACGGGTGCAGCTGGAAGTGCAGTTGTCCTGACAATGGGCGATGGCCTATACTTTGAGTGGGGAGTCCGTATAAACAACTGGGCCTCTACCCTTCAGACTGAACTATTTGCCTTGATCCTTGCACTGAAATGTGTACAAGTCTCAAAACTTGATACATTAATTGTAAGTGACTCCTTATCATCCTTAAATGCTCTCAACTCTTTAAGACATAACTGTAACATGCTCGTGTCCGAAGCTAGACACAAATACAACAAAATTACTAAGGATGGTAACAGAGTCCATTTCATGTGGTCTCCATCTCATGTTGGCCTCCGAATGCATGATAGAGCTGATAAGTTAGCCAAAGAATCTGCCTTTAAAGGAGCCGTTGAGTGTAACCTTGGATTGTCAATGAGCAATCTGAGAGCAGCTGTACACCGAGAACTTCAACAAGATCTTGTAGATCTGAGGCAAAGTGAAATTGACACCAGTAATTCCATCTATCATCATACTATCATGCAAGAGGAGCCACACATCTATGGATCATCCAATAAAATCAGCAGACTTCTAGATGTTACTACTGCTCGGCTTAGACTCGGTTACAAGTATCTCTGGGAATTCTCATTATCTGCTGATGTAGACCTGACCAAATGTAAACTGTGTCAACAAAATTATTCGCACACCCTCCGTCACTATGTGATGGAGTGCGAAAAGATACGTGAATTTAGAGACAATTCTATAACCAATGTTCCAGCGATGTGTCAATATTTCATTCAAAATGATCTGCTACCAGAAATTTTAGCCAAATATCCCCAGTTTGCTAACTGTAGGTAGTAACTAAGTGATTGTAACCTATCCACCGCTGCCCACTGGATGGGGGCGGTGTGCAGGACAAACATATAAATTTTGACACTAGCTCTCCACATATGTCAGTTGCTTAATTTAGAACCTGTACTTGAGGTCGATCTCGAACCCATTGTTGATGTGATGACTTATATTGAATTTTGTAACTAGCTCATCAAGATTGTAACTTGCTTAGCTAAATGAATTGTGGGGTTCAGTCCCTGAGCCCATTATGTGCCTCTGTAACCCTTTCCACTACCGCCCACAAGATGGGTATGGGGTGCATAATAAATGAACTAAACTAACTAGGTCCACAAATAACCCAACAGGGAACTCATTTTGATCAAGAGCTGTATGAATCGAGTTAAGCATACTAATAAGTGCATCGTTAGTGCTTTTTTTGGGCCTGAAGCCATATTGGCAAGGGCTAAGTATATTGAGTTTGGCTAGATATGAGTAAAGCTGCTTATAGATTAGTTTTTCAAAAATTTTTGACAAGTTTGGCAGGATTGATATAGGTCTGTAGTTGTTAACATCTGTGAGATCACCACATTTGTGGACAGGCGTTACTCTCGCTTTTTTTAGAATATCTGGAAAGGTTTGGAGTTCAAGTGACTTGTTGAAGAGCAAAGCAATAGCAGGGGCTAAAGATCTGGAGGCTTTTTTGTAGATTAAAGTTGGTATCTCCTCAAGGGCACCAGACTTGGTTTTAAGGGAAAGGATTATCTCATTGACGTCAGTGGAATTAATAGGCTTTAGGTACAGAGACTGTGGATAGTTACCTGTAAGATAGTCTTTAATGTCAGTACTGGAAGATGGAATATCATTAGCAAGGGATGAACCAATGGAAGAGAAGAACCTATTGAACTCAATAGCAGAATCAGAGGCTGAAAGCTGACCATTGTTATTAGACAGGAGTGTTGGTTTGTTATTTATAGACTACTTTGATCCCAATATTTGTGAAATTGTTCTCCAAGTTTGTTTAATGTTGCTCTTTATTTGGGTAAATTTATCTTCGTAGTATTTAGTTTTGGCTCGTCTAATTATCTTAGATAGCAATAGTGAGTAATTCTTTGAGAATTCTTTGGAGACAATTCCTAACCTATACTTCTTCTCAAGGTCATGTTTTTTATTAATAGATTTAAGTATTCCCTTTGTAAGCCAGGGATTGTTAAGCCTTTTGGTTGTGACTTGTTTTGTAAGCATAGGACAGTGGGTATTATAAAGGCTAAGAGTTTTTTGAAGAAAAGATTGAACTGCTAGGTCGATGTCCTCTATGTTACCTAACTCGGACTCCCAGTTGACATTATCAGTAGCAGTTATAAAATTGTCTATAGCAGTTTCATTGTGTAGTCTAAAACGTATCTCTCTTGACTCAAGAGGTGGTTTGCTAATGTTAGTTAAGAGAAATGTGGGGTAATGGTCTGTAGTGCTATCGGTGATTATACCTGAAGTAAGCGGAGAGGTTATGTTTGTCCAGATGTGATCTAGAGTCGTGGCAGTGCTATCAGTGATTCTAGTAGGTCTAGTGATTAAGGGTATGAGGAAGCAGGAGTTCATACAGTTGAGGAAGCTAACAGCAGTAGGGTGTTCTGGCTCGCAGAGGTCAATATTAAAGTCCCCTGCAATAATTAGGTGGTTTTTGTTCAGTCTGTTATCAAGTATTAGATTTCTAAGGTTTGAGTTGAATTCGGACACATCAGTGTTAGGAATTCTATAACTGCACCCACAGACAGGACAGACTCAGCACCCTTGACTCTGAAGCTGGCGAAGATATACTCCCCATAGCAGTCTCTAGTTCTAATTTCTTTTAAGCATGTTAGTTCTTGGTGGTAGTAAAGAGTAGTGCCACCACCTCTCTGAAGTTGACGACAGTTGTGAATTGCTGAGTAGTTAGGCATGTTAAAGAGTTGAGTAGTATCCTCTTTCAACCATGTTTCAGTAAGTATAATAAAAGAGAATTTATTGTCAATAGCTTCAATCAAGGCACTAACATCATCGAAGTGTTTACCTAGGGATCTAACATTCAAATTGATTACAGAGATATTGTGATTATGAGTTAATACATTGTTTACATCATGTACTGCAAAATATCTGCAATTTAGATCATTAAAGTGATTATTGTCATAGATAGTGGATAAGAGGTTAAGTTCTGGGTCTACACTTGACTGCATTAAAAAAAGCTGATTGCAGGAAAAACAAGGAAAGAAAGGCAGATTACAAGGTAGAAATAAGCTATAAAATAGGGGAAAAAAAATGTACACAATACTGTGCAAAACAAACACAAAAGGGGCTTACAGGGGTACAATGGAGTAAGGGAGTATGGCTAGGCTAGGCAACCTAGGTAATAAATGAGATTAAAGAAAAAAACATAAACATGGACTATACAA